ACTGCAGAAAGAACGATTGCAACCAGTCAGCCTTCCAAAGAAAAGCTGTATATTGCACAGGTCAGAAGGTGACCTGCCTGAGAAAATACTTAAAGACCCCTTACATTCTGGACATAAACAGTTTCAATTCTGAAGTTTCTATGCTGCACTAGGGCATTGCAGGCCAAAACAATTAGACACAGGGACACTTTCTTCCCTTGTGCCATCTCTCTACTGAATACCTAATTCTCATAGTACTCCCTAACGCAGTGGTCCTCAAACTAAGGCCCATGAGCCGGGTACAGTCCGCCCAAGCCATTAATCCAGCCCATGGGGGATCCAGAGGCTGCTCCGCCCATCTCACCCCGCCCAACCACCAGTCCCCACCCTTCAGCCAAGCGCAGTACTTATTTTAGCAGGCAAAGTGCTTGTGGGGATGGGGGAAGGAAAAATGGGCTACGCAGAGCTCCCAGGAGGCCTTCGCAGACCTCATTTATGGCCAGCAAAGTGTTTGTGGGGATGGGGGAGGGAAAAGCGGAGCTCCTGGGAGGCCTTCACAGACCACGTTTATGGCCGGCAGAGTGCTTGTGGGGACGGGGGAGGGAAAAATGGGCCGTGTGGAGCTCCTGGAAGGCCTTCGCAGACCTCATTTATGGCCAGCAGAGTGCTTGTGGGGACGAGGGAAGGAAAAACAGGCCTAGGAGTCCTCTGAGGGCCCCTTTTTTGCTCTCCCCCACCCCCAGAAGCACTCTATCAGCCAATAAAGGGACATGCCTTTCGCCGAGGAAAGAGCTCAAAGATTTACCAGGGACTTCAGTCCACCATTGCTCCACTGAGGGGGAGAAAGCTGAAGAGTCCCAATGGAAGAGGCTGTGCCTGCCATGTAATTACGCATTGCTTCCAAGAGTTGCGCTTAGTGCCAGGTACCTGTACGCTTGTCCTGGGTGAAACAGAGCAGAAGCATAAAGAGGCGGGAGGCCTGAAAGCACGCAAAACACCAGAGCGGCACTGGTGGCCAGAGTTGCATGGAAGTGGCGCATATCCCGGTCCTGGGCTGGATGCGGGGCCCGAGGCGGAGGGGATGGTGAGCGGGCGGCCCTCGGGAAAGCGCCTCCATGGCACTAAGCGCGATTCTTGGAATAGATGCATAATTACGCGGCAGGTACAACCTCTCCATTGGGACCCTTAAGGTTTTTTCCCCTCGGCGGAGTGATGATGGCAAATCTTTGAGCTCTTTCCTCTGCTGGTAGCTCTCTTGCCCTACAAGTCAGCCACCTTTCGCTCCTGAGCACAATGGTGTCAGCTGCTCTGAATGAACCTCCTTTCTTCCTTCCAGCATGCTTCAAGCAGGCAAGCAGCTGGCCCGAAAGAGGCTCCTGCAAGCCGGCAGGCACTTGTTGGCAAAGCAGGGCTGGCGAGATCCATGTGAGAGAGGAAGCGGTTGCTGCAACAGTCACCTGCACCTCTTCCTTCCCCTCTCACCACCGGTGCTTGGCTGCCCATCCTTCTCTCACTTAGTGCTTGGCAGTTATGAGGCTATGGCCAGCAAGGCTGCCTGCCCCCCAAAGGAGGATGGTCATCACCCCTGGAGAGGCAGGCAGAAAGGGCTGGCTGGCCAGCGGATCAGCGCTGCTGACCCCCCATCTTGGGGCTTCCTTGCCAGATCTGCTCCAAGTGATGCTGCCTGGCCCGAACCTGCTTGCCAGACGTGGGAAGCTCTTGCCTGAACCTGTTGCACACGTTCGGCACATGTGGAGGAAGTTCCCGGGCAGCCAGTAATATCCCAAAAGCGGATTGGGACTGCCACAATACAAATAGAATAAAATGGAATGGAATGGAAATAGGAGAGAATGGAATGGGAATAGGCATGGGGTGGAATAGCAATAGCAATAGGATGGAATGGGAATGGGAATGGAATAGGATGGAATGGAATGGAATGAAATTCAGCAAGGTTTCTCTTTCTCCACCCCTTTTGCTCTTCTAGCACACTTTTCTTTCCTGACAGAGAGAATGGAATGGAATGGAAATAGGAGAGGATGGAATGGGAATAGGGATGGGATGGGATGGAATAGCAATAGCAATAGGATGGAATGGGAATGGGAATGGGAATAGGAGCCTAAGTGGCGCAGCAGACTAACGCTACTGTTAAAGGTAGTATTTAGCTTCCAGCTAAATTACTGCGAGTTCAATTCTCACCAAGCTCAAGATTGACTCAGCCTTCCATCCTTTCTAAGGTAGGCAAAATGAGGACCCGGTTTGTGGGGGCAATAAGCTGACTTTGTATAAAATATACAAAAGTATGAAGGCTATTGCTTAACGCCTTGTAAGCCGCCCTGAGTCTCCGGAGAACGGCGGCATATAAATAAAAAAAAGTAGGAATAGGAATGGGATGGAAGGGAATGGAATTCAGCAAGATTTCTCTTTCCCACCCCCTTTGCTCTTCTAGGACACTTTTCTTTCCTGAGAGAAAGAATGGAATGGAATGGAAATAGGAGAGGATGGAATGGGAATAAGGATGGGATGGAATAGCAATAGCAATAGGATGGAATGGGAGTGGGAATGGGAACGGGAATAGGAATACGAGTGGGATGGAATGGAATGGAATTCAGCAAGGTTTCTCTTCTCCACACCCTTTGCTCTTCTAGCACACTTTTCTTTTCTGAGAGAGATGAGAGAAGGAGAGAGATTTGTAGGAGGTGATTGTAACCTCCTTGAGGCTGAGAAGAATTGCTGCAAAACTGAGTTTTCTGAAGTGGACCACTAGACTCCTAAACAAAAAAAATGACCTAATAAAAAGAAAAGGCAAACAAAAGCAAATAAAACACCCCCAGGAGGAAAACAAAGTTCAATTTGTGTGTATTATTAAGGACTGCTAAATTGGCCACACCCACCCAGTCACATAACCACATAGCCACACTTGCCCACCCAGTCCGGCCCTCCAACAGTCTGAGGGACCGTGAAGTGGCCCCCTGTTCAAAATGTTTGAGGACCCCTGCTCTAACTTCTATGTACATTTACCTATATTGGCATGATTGTAGCATTATTTTTATCCTTACCTTCTTTACTGTTCTCTCTTATTGATATTATTATTATGATTATTGTGACTCTGTTACTTTGCATGTATACTGAGAGCTTCTGCACACAAAATTACTTGTGTGTCTAATCACACTTGGCCAAGCAAACTTGTTCTGTTCTGTTATACTCTATTCTATTCTACTCTACTCTATCCTACTCTACCTACCCTACCCTACCCTACCGTACCCTACCGTACCCTACCCTACCCTACCCTACCCTACCCTACCCTACCCTACCCTACCCTACTCTACTCTACTCTACTCTACTCTACTCTACGAAAAACAAAAGCCAGTAGGCCGTTTCGTATAATGGGCTGTTTTGAAGCTGGACTGTCACTTGTGTAGTAAGTAAAATTCAACTATGTGTATCTAAAATAAGTTGTGTATCATTTGAATGAATTAAAGAAATGCTAGATGACATGTCAGTATATTGCAGTTACTCTGTACATTATTTTGAAACTGATGTTCACCAAGCCAGGAAGGAAAGAAGCGAGAGACTTAAGTTTCTGAATGGCAAATATCTCATTGAAACCTGAGATAAGGAAGTGGGTTGCTGAAGACTGCCAAGATACATGAGTGAAAACACTAAAAAGTAGCTCATGCCAGACATCACCAACCTGGTGCCCTCTAAAGTTCCCAAGATTTGTAGCCTGCATAATTCCCAGGCAGCATAGACTTCATAATGTTACAATGTTTTTGGAATAGAAATCCTAAAAGGCTGGGGAAAGCTGACTTATAAATAGTCATACTTAATGACTACTTAATAATCATACTTATCATACTTAATAATGTTATGGTATCTCTTAAAGGAGAGGAGAAAATGGACAATCTGTGGTTCAGTATTTTGTAGCATACATCTGTACATTAGGTCGCAGATAGATTAGTTAAGATTTATTTAAATTTATTTATTTATTTATTTTTGAATTTGTATACCGCCCTTCTCCCTGAGGACTCAGGGCGGTGAACAGCCAAATAAAAACATCAAATACAAATATTAAAATACAGTTAAAAATATATATATAAATTTGGCCCCATTAATTAAAGCAATAAACCAAACAATTAAAAAACATGTAAAAAGAATTAGGCCAGCCCGGCTTGTTGGAAAAGGAAGGTTTTAAGGGCACGGCGGAAGGCACTGAGGTCATGGATTCTCCTTATCTCAGGGGGCAACTGATTCCAGAGGGTGGGAGCCCCCACAGAGAAGGCCCTCCCCCTGGGGGTCACCAGCCTGCATTGTTTGGCTGATGGCACCCCGAGGAGGCCCTCTCTGGGAGCGCACGGGTCGATGGGAGGTCGTCGGTGGCAGCAGGCGGTCTCGGAGATAGCTAGGCCCTATGCCATGGAGCGCTTTAAAGGTGATAACCAACACCTTGAAGCGCACCCGGAAGACCACTGGGAGCCAGTGCAGCTCGCGCAGGAGCGGTGTTACATGGGAGCACCATGCTGCTCCCGTCACTACCCGCGCTGCTGCGTTCTGGACCAGTTGGAGCCTCCGGGTGCTCTTCAAGGGGAGCCCCATGTAGAGAGCGTTACAGTAATCAAGGCGAGAGGTCACGAGGGCATGAGTGACTGTGCACAGGGAATCCCGATCAAGAAAGGGCCGCAACTGGCGGATCAGGCGAACCTGATAAAAGGTCCCCCTGGTTACAGCCGTCAGATGTTCCTCCAAGGACAGCTGTGTATCCAGGAGGACTCCCAGATTGCGAGCCCTCTCTGTGGGGGCCAAAGACTCGCCCCCAATAGTCAGTGATGGAGTCAACTGACTATATCGGGATGCCGGGAACCACAGCCACTCAGTCTTGGAAGGGTTGAGCCTGAGCCTGTTCCTCCCCATCCAGATCCGTATGAATCTATTCAGATAATAAATCCTGTGAAAGAATAAATCAACTTTGCTTCAGATCTGTTTGCGCTAATTCAGTTCTTCCCCTTTTTTATTTTCTTTCCCAGAGGATGTTAAACAGGTGTTTGGGCAGACCACAATTCATCGCCGGATTCCTTTTAACTGGAACTCTGAATTTGTACAGCTACATTTTGGAAAAGATCGGAAAAGGCGTCTAACATATGCAGAGTTCACCCAATTCTTATTGGTGAGTTTTGACAATAATTTTAAATCTTAACAAAGAACTTTAAAATGCTATATATTTAAATTGCTATATATTTTCCCATATAGATTTCTATTTAATCTAGATCGCTAAATATTTGTGTGCGCTCTCATTCTCTCTCTCTCTCCCTCTCCCTCTCTCTCTCTCTCTTTCCCTCTCCCCCTCCCTCCCTAGTGTGTGTATATAATAAACATACAAGTAGTTCTCACTTTATGACTATTTGTTCAGCAACCGTTTGAAATTTCAATAATGCTGAAAAAAATGGATTTCTTACCTGTGCCCAAAGTTATAGCAGTTGGTGTTCCTGTAGTCACATGATCAGGATTTGTTGGTTTGGCAGCCTGCCTGCAGCTTTCTGAAAGTACTACAGCTTTCTGAAATCTCAGAGAGCCTGTATTGGATCATCTGCCAGAGGAGCTGTGTCCGAAAAGGAGATAGCATAGGCAGCAAAGCATTCTGCTTTGGTTGAAATAGCTGGTTGCGAAAGCAAAAGGTCAGTACAAGGAACTGGAAAAGAAGACAGCTAAGCAAACAAATACTTGGGTGTTCATGGGTACTGTGGCTTGGTGTCACGCTGATGAGGCAAGATAAGGAACCAGGTCTAAGAAGCCCCAAACAAGCCGAGAAACAGTGGGACAGAGTAGGCAGTGCATTGGGATTACCTCTGCCTGGCTCTGCTGCACACTTTTCACCCAGAGTGAGACAAAGCTTTGTCTACTTGCAAAGGGGATGCTTTAACACGGAGCTAATCGCTCCATTTCAAACCATCCCCTTTGTAAGCACACGAGCTTTGAGTCTCTGTGATTTCTCCATCTGAGTGAAAAGTGTTTGGTCACCTATGGTGTGACCAAACCATAGACGCTTGGGAATGGAGTGATTTGCTCCATTTCCAAGCACCGCATAGGTGACCAAACACTTTTGGTCTGGATGGAGAAATGATGCAGACAAAGCTTTGACTCCCTCTGGGCGAAAAGTGTTTGGGCAGCTACCACCAGCCCCGCCCTTGCTATCCCACTGTCTGCTTGCCCGCGACATCAAGCTGCCCTGCCAGGAGGATGAAGAGCCCCCAAGAGGCCAGCAGCAGCACGGGCAGCCACTTGGTGGCCAGCATAGCATCCAGCATGGCCGAGAATTGTCCCAGCAGTAGGCAGGGCAGGTGGAGGATGGGGCATGCCAAGAACTTGACCCGTTGCAGCTGTGGGCAAGCAGACAGTGGGATGGAGAGAGCAGGACCAGTGGCAGCTGAGCTCCCACTCCCGCCGGGCCCTGCACTCACTGCCTCCTGCACTTAAAAAAATAAAACCTCCCTGAAAATAAGCCCCACTGCTTATTTTCAAGCCCAAAAGAAGACCACATCTTATTTTCGGGGAAACATGATAGCGCTAAAATATCTTGATATCATCAAGACAAGGCTAGATCAGTGTTCCCGTTGTTTCAATTGGATATGTTATAAAGAACTGTTACACAAGAGAGTTTTGACAAAGGATCATATTTCAGGACTATCAAGTCTGTAATTTTGTTTACATAACGATGTTAGTTCACAGTAGGAAGTGTTATCATTTTGATGAGGAATAATTAAGATAATGCTGCTAGGACAAATGCTTCAAATTGACTTGGTGGAGTAGAGTCTAATTAATTCTTTGTCTGAAGAGGATGTTAGATGTCTCATATAATATAATCACATTCTATTAGTTGTAATGACTGTCATTTTACTGACTTCACTTGACTTCAGATCCAGCCCATCTTTATTGTTTGGAAACTGATTAAAATCTGATTTTCTCTTCTTAACAATACCATGGAGAAGTGCTGTATTCAATTTGGTATTTCCAATATGGTATGCATGTGACACATGGATCTTTCCAACTCTCTTAATCCGTATGCATCATAATGTTCGTCCTTAAAGATCTAGGTAAAAAGCTAGCTTATGTAGCCTTCCCGGGTTTAAATATATGGCTTCTATGCAGAAGAACCTTCTGTTGTAAACGGTTACAGAAGTTTGAGTTGTTTCTTTCAAAAAGCTGTTCTTTGCATGAGATTTAGACTTATCTTTAAGAAATCTTGTTTTGAATTAAGCAAGTTTTATTATTTAACCCTTGTTCTTTGTAGCTTTTCTTGTATATGAATTGATCACCTTAAGACAGCAGGACTCAAAGTTGTCTCAGTATGTGAATTCTTTGTTATATTTTTCATAATTTGCACCAGATGTGACACCACTGGCTCTTTTAAGTATTTTTTTGTACATATATATTCACTTTCTTAAGATATTTAAAATTTAATCTCTGGAGCAGTGAATGATTGGACAATACAGAATAATGGAGTTGGAAGGAGCTTTGTAGGTCATCTAGTCTAACCCCTTGCTCAAGCTGGAGACCTTATACCATTTCTGACAAGTGGCTGTCCAGTCTCCTCTTGAAAGCCTCCAGTGATGAAGCACCAACAACTTCTGAAGGCAAGCTGTTTCATTGGTTGACTGTTCTCACTGTTAGGAAAGCACAGAAGGCCAGACAAGGAACAATGGATGGTTTTAGCCTCCAGATCCCTAATCATCTTTGTTCTTCTCTGCACTCTTTCCAGAGCTTCAACATCTTTTTTTGTAGCGTGGTGACCAAAACTGGATGTAGTATTCTCGGTGTGTCTTACTAAGGTTTTATAGAGTGGTATTGGTACTTCACATGATCTTGATTCAATCCCTCTGTTAATGCAATTTAGGATTGCATTGGCTTTTTTGACTGCTGCCACACACTGCTGACTCATATGTAATTGATTGTCCACTAGATCCCTCTCACAATTACTGCTATTAAGCCAGGTTTCACCTAATCTAAACGTGTACTTTTCGTTTTTCTTGTCTGTCTTTACTTTTCTCTAAGTTGAATTTCATTTTGTTAGATAGGGCTCCAGTGTTCAAGTCTGTCGAGATCCATCTGGATTTTGAGCCTATCTAGGGTGTTGGTTATTCTGCCAGCTTAGTATCATCTGCAAATTTGATAAGTTTCCCTTCTATTCCATTATCTAAGCCATTTATGAAGACATTGAAGAGTACTGGGCCTAAGACGGAAACTTGTGGTACCCCACTGCTTACCGTGTTTCTCTGAAAATAAGACAGGGTCTTATTTTCTTTCGAACCCTGAAATAAAGGCTTGGCCTTTTGGGGGGTCTCATTATTTGGGGGGAGCTCATCTTTCCAGCTGTCCTCCCGAGGCTGTGCCCGTGTCCTCACGTCCCTGTGCCCGGTTCTTCGGGAGCCTGCTCGCAAAAGAGCAGCCACTTGGCACCTCTTGCCACTTGGTGCCTACCCAGCGGAAAACCTCCCCTCCAGCCAGGCAGAGTGCCACTCACCGATCGAGTGGTATCCCAGAATCACGATGTGGGTGAAGCCGGTGAGCACCAGGTCCTTGAGGAGTCCGCGCCACTGCCATCCCAGCACTGAAGCTGGCTTCTTCTGCGGCTTCCAAACCCCAGCTGGAAGTGGAGAAGAGGCCGATCAGGCTAGCCGCCTGCTGCCGAGTCTTCCAGGAGCCGGGGTAGCCGCATGGACCTGGAACCATAGAGCGGGAAGTCCCTATGTGTAGTGGTAGAAAAGGGTAATAATGGTTTAATATGGGTTTTATTATTTTGATTAGGTTCTCAGCAATATCTTTGATTTTTGCTCCAGGGGCTCAACATATCTCTCTAGATTGACTCTCTAGTCTACAGACGGCTGGTTCTGTTCCCTTGAGAATTGAATCTCCTATCACAAGGACTCCCCTTTTTTTTCCTAGGGAAGTTTGGAGTATTTTTCTACCCGTCACAGAAGAACTTGATGATGCTATCTTTTTAGGAACTTTTGATGATGCTTCTTTTCTAGGTGTATGCATGTTTTCTTCCAGGGAGAGTCTATGAAATTGATTGCTCAGCTCCAGTGGGGCTGCATCAGAGTGGATTGGGTTGGACGGGGGTTTTGTACAATGAGTAAAAACACATGGTTATAGCTAATCCGTTGAAGAGAGCGGGCCACTACATGAGGCAACCTAAACTGTGATTGGTTGCTGTGAGTGTAAAGAGGGAGTTTCCTTGTTTTCTGCTTTTTTTTTCTCTGTGTGTCCTGTGTGCGCTCTGATTTACCTCATGATGTTCTTGCAATTGTATGATCCTTTCCTCTACTGTAGATCGTCATCTTTACATTCTTTGACCTCTTTTTAGGCACCTGCCTTCTTTAAACTAACTATTTAAAAATGTTTGCATACATGTATATGCGTGGCTAGTTGTTTTGATTAATTATTAACTCCATTCCTAGCATTTAAATCCATTAAGTGTTAAATTCATTTAATAGTTAAATACACTAAAATTATTGCTGAATAATGGAACAAAACTTTTAGTTTTGTCTTGTCCAATGTTAACTTCCAGATGCATTGGGTTTTCATTCTACCTCATTCATCAGATAATATGAGAATTGGCTAGGAGTGAGTAATAGAAGTTGCTGTTTAGGATAGCCCCAGTTAGGAAGTCTGTTCTATTTCATCTACCAGTTGTATATGTAAAATGTAGAAGTTTTTTTTACGTTTTATGACAGTGACACACTGATGAAAGAGATAGCTTTCCCATTACATAGAAGCATATATATGCACTTATGTCATTTTTGAATTGCAGGTAATGTGACCTGCAAATAAGCAACATCAATTGAATAGTGTTGGCTACAGGCAAAGGACCTGATGTTTTACTTATCCCCTTTAAAAGACAAATGATGTCTCTGGGGGGATAGGATAATTGTTACATCTAGAAACTTCAGAATGGTTTACACAAATGTATTCATTTATCCGATTGTTAAAATCTAATTTTGGATGTGTTAAATGCTGAACATCTAATATTTTGTGGTTATAAAAGAGAAAAAAATGTCTCCTTTTCAATGTGTGTTTATGACGAACATTCTTATCCCTGCATTGATTAATTGTAAAACTGTAAAATTTTATCTCTGTAAATAGACAGTTTGTCAATCTGAATTACTAAAATAAAACCTTCTATATGGAAAAAGTGGCTAAAATAAATCAGCTACTCCAATTCAGTAATCAAAATAAGAACTCTGCTAGGATGATTTAATTGGAAACTCAGAGGAGCTTTATTAGTTATTTCTAATATCCTTTACTTTCTGACATTGCTATGAGATGTTCCCCACAATGTACAAAAAGGTAGGTATAAGTGAAATCAGTGAAGTATAGCTTAAGCTGCCATAGCAAAAAAAAAAAAAAAGATTAAAGGAAGAAAAGAGGGAAAAGATGAAAACTGCTTTTCAGTACAACCTAAACAGCTTGACAAATATTCTCTCAACTGCAGATGATATAATCCTCTACATGACTTTAAAAATAGCTTAATTCTTTAATGTTCACAGTCTGAACACTGAATCTAAAAGTTTTTATTCAAAATTTGCATGTAGATGAGGTGCCATCTACGTGCATATACTTCCCTTTTCTTGCTGTTGTTTACAAAGCCATAACACTGTCCAGGCTGAAGAATTAAGTTCAGTCATAACTGATGTTTTAATTGATTAGCACTCACTTGACTCAGCATATCTATTCCCACTGCTGCATGTTATTAGTCTCCACTGACAAGTATCGTTATCAATAAGCATCCCAGAATGGAATATTATAAAAGCATATATTTGAAAATATTTTTAAAAGTCAAAAATAATAGCAACAGCAATACCTCTTAGAACTATATACCGCCCCGTAGTGCTTTACACTAGTTTATGATGTCAGCATTATTTGTATATAGGCCCCAACAATCTGGGTCCTCGTTTTACAGACATTGGAAGGATGGGTCAACCTCGAGTCCATCAAGAATAAATTACCAGGATTGGTAATATTGCATGATATTCTAAAATTATATGAGGATCCAAAAAGAATTTATTATAACAGTCCTAAAATCCAGTGAGGTATAGTAAATATTTGAATTTTGCCATTATTTCCATTTTGCTTTTATTTTTAAAAAGGAAAAAAAAAGATTACGCTCCCCCTTAGTTATATGGGGATATCACAAATGCCTTTATAACTACTGATATATTTTGATTCCTATGGCATCATCCCGCCAGACTGGATTTATTGGTTTTAGCAGGAAGCAGATAGTGCTGAACATCTTGCAAAAATCTTGCTAATTTAGACTTCACTGAATTATATCTTGTATCTTAAATGGTGATAATGATATTTTTTGTGTGCGTTGGTTGCTACTTTTAATATTTTATCATTTTTATCTTTTGTTATTTTCTGTAGAACCAGACTGACTGGGTTTTACTGTATTTATTTTATGGATTTTCTCAAATATCAATAAACCTAAATAAAATATAGCCTCAGACTGGATCATTGCTTGCATTAGGTTGTATGCACTATTCTGTGAGTGATGCTTTACTCATGGAATATAGCACTTTGGGATAAATAATATGAAATCTGCTTTAATTTATGATAAAATAAAAGTACAGACTTGCCGGTATTGACAAATAAATGCAAACCCAGAAATTCTAAGGATTATTACATGGGTATTAATTTAAAAGATGTAACTTCAATAAAGTTCAGTTCTGTGATGAAAAATAAAAGTACTTACCACATCTGGATTTGAATAGAAAGGGGTAAGTTAAAGCATGAAGGGGTGTTCCAGCTCCCTAAAGAAATTGTGTTATTTCCTGGATTTGTGGAGTTGTCTTGTCTTCCTTGGAAAAAACACATTTGGTTTAAGGGATTGAAAATAGGTGCTACTTAAATGTTCATGCACACTCTGAATCACAGTTTTATATTAATCCCCTGCTACAAATACTATCTTTGTAAATTTTAATAAACTTTGAACAACTTCCTGCTATGAGACAGATTGAATATCTACAGCATGGATCAGATTTTCAAGCTGTTCTCAGAATTAAACACAACATATAGATGATAAAGGAGTAAATGTCTTCTAAAGGACAACAGGGTAAAATCCCAAGAGCTGAAGCTGAAATAATGTTGCAAGTTACTTAGGTGATGTAGCTCACTCAGCAGTAGATGGAAGAAAGTTCTTACTTTTGGTGTAATGATGTTGTGCTCTTTAAATATCTGTGCAATCCTTTACTAAAATACGTAAATTGAAGAGGCAGAATATAACAGAGATACAGATGAGATTTAACTATTTTTTATGTTTTATAGGAAATACAGTTGGAACATGCAAAGCAAGCATTTGTGCAACGAGATAATTCTCAAGCTGGAAGAGTCACAGCCATTGACTTCAGGGATATTATGGTCACCATCCGACCTCATATGTTAACACCTTTTGTTGAAGAATGTCTAGTAGCTGTAAGTTACCTGCTGTTTATAAATATATACGGATGACACCTTGCTTTTATTGTTAATCTATTGCGACGAATATACAGAGAAAGGAATAGAGAATGAGTGCCTATTTCAAAGTTATTTTTCTCTTCTTTTAATTTTTGCTATATTCATAATCCAGACTTTGAATACAATAGAAATTTATATATGATAAATCTATTTAGGTAGTTATGTTAGGTTTTCTTTCCCATAAGACTGTGGTATTTTTCTTTAGGTCCAGAGTTTTGGCCAGCATACTTGAGCTGTATCAGACGACCTCTAGAACCATCAGGGTAAAATTATTGTGCTGTCTCAACAAATGAATTTCATTCATTCCGCTGTTGGGACACATATGCATGCAAGTTAGTTTCTCTAAGACTAACTTTTTGCTTACTCACAGATTGGCAATTAATGCAGCACCAGGAACCAATCTGAAAAATGGATGGCAAGTTGGAAGTTCCCACATGTTTTGCATGTTTTGATATATGTTACCTTTTAAATTGCACAATGCGTGAAACTTTGCATAATGTCTTAAATGTGATATAATACTTTAACATTAACAGTGATTGTAGAAATGTAATTGATTTACATCTGATCTTGAATAAGATTGAAGAGTAATATTTCATTTTCTGGAAGTAGTTTCTGCTTATTGTTAAAAAAAAAATATCTAACTGTCATTTACATTTTGCAATTTACTAGAAAAAAAGACCACTATACAATTTAAAACTTTTATATGAGGCTATTTCCACGTTATCTGTTTCCCAGTCTTTTCCCAAGAGAAGTATTAAAAATACACAATATTTTACTCTGTTTTTTGTTTTTTTAAATATCTGTACTCTCCTCTTAAAGTCAATTGATTCTCAAAAGGAGTTAAAACAGTTTTCTATAATAATACCAAATCCCCAAATTTGTACATATTCAAGTCCCAATTTAGGAGTTTCTATGTAGAACCAATTCCCAGAATTCTCAGCAATAATCATGTTGAAAGGAGAATTTGGGAAGTTGAAATCCAAGTGTTGGTCAAATGGATCTCTTTAGATGAGTGGTTTATAGCAATATTTGGCAAAGAACAGACTAGATATCTCTGCCAATAGGTAGTACTAGGATAGTATTTTTATTTCTTGCACCGTTTTTCCCTTGGAAAACAGGAAGTCTATGTCAGATATTCAGGTGTGCACTTCTGTACTAGCAGCAACTGTGTTGTTGTTGTTGTTTAAAAAAGATCTGAATAATTATCAAACTCAAATAAAATTTGTACTATTTTGGGTAAATGACCGTTTGAAAGAATGGATTTGCTTAATGACCACATGTCTTACTAAACTGTGTGATTTCTTTAATGACCATACTGACGCACTTTGTGATTATTGTAAAAACGATCATATAATCGTGTCAGGTCACATGGTAACCACTTAACACCGCAATGATTTATGAACAAAGTTCTGGACTCATTTATGGTTCTTAAGTAAAGACATATAATTCAGGCATTTCCATTCAGAAGTATGGATTTCAACATCCAGGATTTCAATAATACCACTTTGACAATTCTAGGAACTGAAGTTCATATATCAGGAAGGCACCTTTGTTAGAATAATTGTGCCTCCCTTTTATATGATTCAAAGTCCATTCTTTGAACATCAGGCTGTAGTTTTTTGAGAAGACTAAGATATATCCTCCAGCCTGACAGTTTGTCTTTATTTTTAGTTCTTCCATACGTTAAAAGGTAAAATGATAGAAATGGGAACTAGTGCTTATGATTCAGGAAGTTCTTGATTGCACAACTTAGTTTTATAAATGCATAGACTCTTTTTCAGTGTGCTTTTTATTTGTAGAAGGTACAAAATGGCTGTGAACGACTTCTTTTATTGCCAATTTATTTGAAGGAGTTTAGTAGCACCTTTCCCAACTACAAATTATTATAAAAGTCATAAGCTATAAGGAAAATTTATTATTTGGAAAATATGTAGACTAACACAGGTCTCCTATAATGCCAATTTATCTATAACCCTTAGCTTTTCAATTCACTGTTTCATTTGCCATGCTGTCTACAAAACATATGGATTGCAGTACATATAACACTACGTTAGGAAAGTTTGATTCATAATTAATTGCTTTTTCTATTAATTTTAGGCAAACCCATTCTTTCTTTAATTATTCATTCTATCACTTAGAATTCTGAGCATACATAGCAATTTCGCGCTTAGTACTATTATAAACTTTGAGATTTCTGTTGCTTTTAAAGATTGTTAAATTTAGCCATTCTATATGTATGTTTCTGAAAAATTATGTCCATGCCAACTTACCCAATAAAACACATATTTGATAAGATTGGAAAGCAAAAAGTGGAACACTAGAACAACTTTATCCTTTATGAAAGAGTGATTAATTGTATCCTGGTAGGAACACATCAATCAGAACACAGATTGAGATGTAGAAATTACAGAAATTACAGGATGGGGAAAATGTTCCCAAAAAGCTTTTATAAGATTGTGCACAAAGTCCTTAATTCAAAATTCTTTGAAAAAATTTAGCATCACAAGAATGAAATATGCAGACTTAAGAATTATGTACGTTCATTAGCAATATATTTCAATTCCTTGGAACATACAAAGGTTTATTTTCTTTTTAAAATAATGCAGCGCTTACCAAGGAACTTACTATAAACCCCATTTAGTTTTTTTTAAAGGTAAAATATATCATCAGCTTCACATTTAGTTTCTTTGGGCTACAGTAGTAACATAGCAACCACCTTCTAATGCATCTGTATTATATTTCTGTTCTTCCTTTGATTTTGTTTTTTTTGGGGGGGGGTGGGGGGAGTAAGGAGCAAAATTGTTCCAGTAATGGTGTCTTTCAGTCAGAACCTAAAAGAGCAATATCAGTAGATGTTGAATGTGTGAGAGTGTGTATGTAGGTATATATACATACACACATATGCACATTCACACACACTGTATATTGATAGATTATATATGTATAATATTAGTATAATATTATGTATGTATATGTATATATGTATGTATGTATGTATTTCTCTTTAGCCAGGTTCTTCCTACGTAAACCAAGATTTTTATGCAGCCCTACTGTACCTTTATAGGGAGGATACATGGGATGAAGGTGTGGCTAACTGATGAGGGCTTATAAGTCCGAAATAGATCTATCTTAGTCTCCTTAGTCTCCCAATGAGCAGCTGCTGGAAGAAAAAAAGCCTAGAAACTAGTGGATTGGGATTTCACTGAACTAGGGCTGCGTAAAAATCTTGGTTTACGTAGGAAGAACCTGGCTAAAGAGAAATACACATAAAGACCTATGAAAAGAAAAGAAAACGTGTGTGTGTGTGTGTGTGTGTGAGAGAGAGAGAGAAGTTTTCGCGGGTGTGTGTATGTAAAAAGTTAAAATCTCGGGTGTTTTCCCGCGTCATTATAAGTTTGTTAGTTAAAATGTTTAAAATTAAAAAAAATTTAAAAAGCTGTGATCTTAGCCAAGATTTTAAACATTTTAACTAACAAACTTATAATGACGCGGGAAAACATTCGAGATTTTAACCATATATATATATATATAGGTACACACACACGCATGCACACACACACACACACACACACACACACTGTATATTGATAAATAGATTATATACTATATTTAATATTAGTATTAAAATAAGACCTCTTAAACTAAGAAAACAATGTCAAAGATACATATATACACTGTATATTGATAAATAGTTTATATATGTATAATATTTATATTAAAAATAAGACCTCTTAAATTAAACTAAGAAAACATAATGACAAAAATAAACCTCCCACCAAATTTAAAAAGGAAAACTAAAAATGAAACAAAATCAAATTTTAAACATCATTGGAAGTTTGGGTTTTTTTGCTTTTTGTAAGATTAAGGAGAAATGTAGTTAATTTAACATACACGTTTTAACCGAAGTATTTCTGTAAACAAGGCCAATGTATTAGGAAACTTTCATTATAATAGTTAAGAAATAAATGACCAAATTTAATTAAACCTATTCTTAGTCATAAAGCTCTTTACTATTGTATTTATGTTTCAGTCAATTATTTTTGCACCACTGATCCAAAGCATAAAAAAATCAATATTTTATGGTATGAAAAATATCAGTCAAAAAAGAAAGGATTAAGAGTAGGTACAGGGAGGAAAAAAAATATGTGACTGGATTTATTGTCAAAGGTTATTTCGTGATTTTTCTAGTTTTCTCAAATACTTTTGTCTAAATGTAATGACTGCTTGGGCATTTCCACCAAACCTATACTAATAGTTTGCTTCCTGCACAATCCCCACAACCAAGTTTAGAAAGGGTACAATTTATATATTTTTAGCAGAGGATAGTACCAATCATGAATTAAATGCATGGCCAGTTTTTGATAACTTGCTAAAATAGATTTAACATGAATTCTATATACAAAGAGTTGAGTTTTTTTTATTCAAAATTTATTTAGCTTTCAAAATCTGAGTTGATATTAAAAACAATATCTTTAATAAATTGTATTAAAGAGATATTGGATACATATGGAAGTTACATATACTTATTAATCAGTATTTACCAAGCATAGGCTAAATGACCAATAACTTTAGTGTATGTTAATAAATGTTATTCAAGCTGTACATGGTCCAGTTGATCTAATGATTTCTATTTATATATAGTAGTCATAAAATTGCATTTTAAGTTTCAACAAAAATAGATTTCGACCTGATTCATATTTGTTGGACCACATTTGGTGGCAGGAATGTCATGTAACTGCTTGGACTTTGGCCCTCTAATTGAAAATGTTTTCATAGCCCTGTTCAACCTGATTCCTTTTGTTCAGGATCCCTAGCTTAGTAGTTGAGTATTTGATTTGAATGCATGAGAGTTCAAGTTTCAATCCTTGTGGTTCCAGTTTAAGGAATTCAGGTAACGAAGTGTAAAGAAAGACTTTTTTTTTTTGAGACTTTGAAGAACCAGTAATTGAAAACTTGCTGGATAGGCATATGACCTGATTAATTGTAAAGTACATTCATGTTGGAAATTGTAAATATGTTTCAAGGGGTGGGGGGTGGGAATAAAACCCCCAGAAAATGCATACATTTTTTGCAATATTCCATATGTAATGCAACTTGTAATCTCTTTATATCTGAGGATATTTATTTTATAAAAATTCAATTTAGTAAGCGTTTCGTTTTGTATTATATAATTCTGCAGCTGCTGATCAGCGCTGTATCTCATAGAAAGAGGATGATATTTGCTGGGCCACAGTTTTACATTTTAAGAAGCATAACATTTATGTTGTATGCAAGACTTTTCATTAATGTGATTTTTTTCAAAATTATTACTGATGGACAAATTGCCTCATTTGTATTCTGGAATTATCTTACCTTGTTTAAAAAGTCAACTCAGTATGGCAAAAAAAAAATAACTTCTATGTTTTGGGAAAAGCAACATGTGATGCCTTATCTGTCAGAATTATTTAGTTGGGCATGTCTGATGAATACTGAAAATATATTCAAGTTGCAAGGAAGCTTAATGTTTGATTAAAGTGGTATCTTTAAAACATGTATTTTAAAGATATGGCTTCTTAGAAATCAATGGCTCAATTGTAAAAGCAAAGCTTGAAAAATCTTAAGAGATATTTCATTGTTATTTATGTTACGTGATGTTCTCTGTACTTAAATATTAAGACAATGACATTCCCCCTTTCTCTTTTTTAGTATATCGTTTTATTTTTATAGTTCCCCTCAATTATGTACCCTAATAGATGTACATTTATTTGCATCTTTAAACCTTTAATATTTGCTCATTGGAGAAAATAAAGCACACTATAATATTTTTTTGACTGCAACAGAATTGAAACTTGAACTCTGTAAATTATCACTGGCCATGTTGTTATAATTCTGCATATGTATTTGTTTAGGTTTCACTGGAACAGGGAAAATGTTTGTGTGCTGGTCATGATTAACTTCAGTAACTTAAGAATCTATTATGGTCTCTTTTTAATTTTGCATTTTAAAAATCATCTGCTACTTCCATTGGTGTTTTAGAAATCTAACAATCTTCCACAAGCCCTCTTCCATGGTACAACAAATATATTCAAGTTATATGATTGAAATATAAACTTCAGTCTAATATCTTCTTTTTCTCTTCCTGCTTTTCTCATTACTTGCTCTGTTCTAGGCTGCTGGAGGTACTACTTCTCATCAAGTCAGTTTTTCCTATTTTAATGGATTTAATAGCCTTCTTAATAATATGGAACTTATTAGAAAAATCTATAGTACTCTGGCTGGACATAGAAAAAAAGTAGAAGTTACCAAAGGTTAGTTGAAATTCAATATGAATTTGGGAAGGGGGAAATGTTCTATTTTCCTTATCTTTTCAAAGTATCAGTTGGATAGGTAAAACATTAATAAATGCTTCCCTCATCTAGTATCATATGATAAACAATATAAAAATATTTTCTGGACATAAAAAGAATCCCATTTGTCTATTATTTGTGCTTTCCCTTTTCCAGGTGCACTCATCTGTTACAATTAACTGGTAAATCTATTTTGACTTTTTATTTTTAAAGATCATAGTTCTTAAATAGGGCTGTACACCGAGTGAACAGTGGATGCAAAGATGTTTTTCAAGTATAAAAACTTCCTAGGGTTGATGCCAAATTGGCAGACTATTAAAGTGACCTTCAAGGATTGTTAAAGAATTCCATAAAGTTGTACTGGCATTGCAGTAAGCTGATCTACAAGCCTGGAACAAGATGTTATCAGCTCTGTCTAACCGCTTTTATAGAGAACTCCCTCTGTAGTGCCAAACCTCCATTAATATAACCTACTGGGACACACATGGAAGCAACGTTCCACATCTCTGTCTCCTTCTCTTTTCTCTCTCTTTTTTTCCATTCTGGCCCACAACTGATTGATACCGTATGTCAAATATCCTAAATCCTGCTGTTAGCACTAAGCTGTAAAGGCAGACTGTTTTTCTTTTCTTTTTTTCTTTTTTTGCACGATGGATAGACTATTTAAACATACATTTACACAGTGGCAGGCACACCATTTGTGGTATTCCCCCCCTTTCTTTTACAGCATATTGGTTTCATACTAAATGTTGGTGATTCCTGGGACCTTTGTGGATTGGTCTCCTTGTTGTTTGATTAGTTTTCCCTTCTGTATTCCACACCCACCACCCCTTCTTCTGTTGCAGAGGAGTTTGTTCTGGCAGCTCAGAAATTTGGCCAGGTTACACCCATGGAAGTTGACATCTTGTTCCAGTTAGCAGATTTATATGAGCCACGGGGGTAAGTTGAAATTACTCTTTTCTTTGCTTTGGAAAAAAAAATACAAAACAGTATGGTTAAACAAAATATCGCCCACCATTGCAGGTATCTTATTTTTTCATAATAGTTGATGCAAAATTAACTTTTGTGATTGCTTGTTTTCCCAGACGTATGACAATGGCTGATATTGAAAGAATTGCACCTTTGGAAGAAGGAACTTTACCCTACAATCTGGTTGAGGCTCAGAGACAGGTAACACAAGATGAGAAAGGATGATGCAGATATTATTTTTTATCTTGTGCAGTTCTTTCTTATGTAAAGTTCCAACTCTGTTGTAGTAAAACTATACCAACTTTTTTTGTGGATTATATAAAACTTAGTAGTTCTGTTTTATTGTAATTGGATCACTCAACCATGAAACAAAAGTGCTAGGTAAATTTATATAGGATTTTGGCATTTTGTGATGTACTCTATACTCCCTCAAAACTAGTTTACAATAATTTAAGATCACATTATTTATTTCTCGAATCTTAATTTGTATTTTTATAGAGCTCTTGTATTAGAAGATGATATGATGCAAACGACAATGAAAATGCCTTTGCCAACTTCTGAATTTTTATATTGGTCTGTTGTATATGTTGAAAACTGACACAGACCTGGGTGTAGTTCTGTTTTTCTAAAGCTATCACTTAAGTCAAACCAAATTCTGTATGTTGAGAGCTTGGAAGGTTCCCCCATCCTCCCTGCTCTGAGTCTGAGCACAGACGCCAGTTTGACCACAATGAGTTGATACAGGCTACATTTTTGGGTGTAATAGGCCTTGAGCCAGGCCTCCTCACTTGGCTGCCTCCTCCCTCCCAAAATCACCCTACAACAACAGTATATTTTTAGCTTTGCTTCAGAAGTAAGTATGATAGGAGGATGGTTTTTTACCATTTACTCAGAAAACCTGTATGAAAGATTACCCAAAGATTAAAGACCAGAGATATTAAATGGAGCCCATATTGGAAGCTGCTATAGATATCACGAGGGTTGGGCAGAATTCAATAGCTAGGAATTCCGAAAGGCAAAATAAGTTTGGGACCAGTGGGACAAATATTGAATTTGAGGGCAGAGTCTATGGTGTTTCCACTTAAAAGAAAAACCATGATGTACAAGGAGTTTTCTGACAAATTGAAATTCAAAAGGGACATATATGGGATATGGTAGGAACATATGAACTAAAGAAGAGCCAAAACAAAGTAGTAGTAGCGAGGATTGGTATGAATTTTAATGCTCCCTTGGTAAATACAGAATCTTAAAAATCATATTAAGAATTTCCAACCTCATTTCTAATTTAAGGAAAGTTTTTGTCCACGTAGGTTCAATTGTGGGTTTTCTGACAATCTTCTTATTGACTTGCCTTCTACCATCTTTTACATTTTTTCCTCAGCCCGTCTATAAGTTATGATAAAAAATAATAAAAGCAAAAGTTCAAAATAAGCTAAATGCTAAAAATAATTTTAGAATGTACCTTGTCAATATTAGGAGCAATAATTGATTGAGGCAGGGGAGAGTATCTACAAGTTAGTGCAAAATCTCCCATGAACCCTATTGATAAGATGGTAAAATGTAGGTTGAATGCTCCTAGTATTAGCTGGCTCAACAACGTTGAAATTACTGTCCTCAAAATGTTTCATTATTTGTCTTAACATCATTAGTAGAAAATGTAAGGATTCCTTACTGAGTCCTGTGTGATTTCCTAAACTTGAAAATGAGACACATAATCTTCAAGGTATATTCTGGTCCCTGACACCATTGTTTCCAAAGTATTTTTTAATGTCCAATTCTATGAATATTCTGTTCAAGCGATAGGTTCTAGATCCAATATTTCTTTCTTGTGACATCAAACTTTTCTATGGATGTTACTAATCCTTGTAGCTAGCACTGTAATGCCTCCTGAGTAGAGAATTGTGTGTGTGTGTGCGTGCACGTGTGTGTGTGTGTGTGTGTGTGTGTAAAATCAACTGAGATTCAAAATAATAACAAAAAAATGCATTACAAACTACATAGTACAAGCTACAAATGGAGTGTTTCTATAATCGGGGAAATCGTTTTAAGCGTAACAAAGGTTTTACATACCCAGAGGGATTTGTCATCCTCTTTTCCCCACTGCATTGCAAAAATCTGAAAACTCCTGGGAGGCTTTATATGTGAGAATAGGTAAGAACTTTATCTGAAACATATTTTAAGATGATTTTGCTGGTAGGGTTCTGATCGATGCCCTAATTAAATCATGAGCCTCAAGCCAAGCTTCAAAAGAAATCCAATTATTTATTAGGAGCACCATGTCAGCACGAACCAAGTGAAGCCAACTCTGACCTCACTTAGTTTGTGCCTTGGCTCTGACCTGTTTCCCTCCTCCCCCAAGGTATGTTATCAGTCACATTCCTCAACAAAGCAATTTCGCGGGCTGTAGAAGTCACTCCCTTCAGCCACTCTGGGTCTCCTTGGAGACAGCCTTTACAATTGCCAGCTGGAATGTGCTTTGTTTTGACTGATGTACAAGTTCCTTGATGCAGCTGCGAGGCTCGGTTCCCCATCCCCCTGCCTCTGGCAACTCAAGAGCAGGTCAGGAATGCTTTGTGAGTTGACATTTAATTTATTTGAACTTCCCAAACCTATATTTATCCTAGAACCAAAACACAACCATCATACTTTGATAGTTATATTTTTTCTGAATATTGCAATGCATTTTCTAAAACTAAAAATGTGTAGGTGTAGATGAAGATAAGAAGACATTTTATTGGGAGAAATTATGTGCAAAAAATGGTATGCTGGGAAATCTGCACGCATGATCGAAAATATATTGGAAAATACGCATGAAAATATATACTGAAAATTTGTATGTAGAAGATAGTAATAAATGATGCAGAAAATTTGATGAATGTGTTGGAAAAATATGAACTTGAATAAAATAGAGTTTGACTGATATGCCAGTTTTGCATGGTTTCTCTACACGAAGTTAAGAATAAGGCCCATCAGGAACTTAGAAACCACTTTTGGTCAATCAATGAAGACAGTGCAAGACAGATAAAGCAAGTGTAAAACTACTTCCTTTTGGCTGACTGTGAAAATTAAATGCCAGAATTTTATGCAACAAAAACAAACTTTTAAAAAATAGCATATGTATTATTCTGGATCTAACTGGAATTTCACTGATATGATTTCAACTAATCTTTAAAAAGCATTTTAATAATGTAAGTCAAATTACTTTATTAATTTCACCAATTTTAAAACAGATTTTATTGGTTACAAATAAATTTTAATGTTAAAGTCTTGTTGCTGATCAACATTAAATAACTGGCAAGCTGCAATAAACTGAACAATAAACTAAGATTTCTTGAGATGGATCAACTGTTGAGATGGGCATTTTAATCCTCTTGTTGCCTAGGTTTAGTATCTTTGATTTTTAGGCTATTCATTAATATGAATGTTTATATTTTATGTTTGCAGTATTTTATATTGTTATTTTTATTTTATTGTTGTGCGCTGCCATTTTCAGTGAGATGGGTGGCTATATAAATTAATAAATTATATATGGTTTTATTTAAGAAATTGCATTAAATTTCTATTATGAAATTCTTGTCCTGAAGATAGGACAAGAAGCAATGGATGAAAACTATTCAAGGAGAGAAGCAACCTAGAACTAAGGAAAATTTTCCTTACAAAACAATCAGTGGAATAACTTACCTCCAAAAGTTGTGGAAGTTCCAACACTGGAAGTTTTAAAGAAGAGATTGGACAACCATTTGTCTGACATGGTATAGGGTTTCCTGCCTGAGCAAGGAGTTGGATTAGAAGATCTCAAAGGCTCTTCCAACTCTGTTATTCTGTTAAACTATTCTTCCTACTCTTCAGAGCAGTATTCCCTTAAGTTCCTTGCATATTTTTAACTTTTTTCCCATATTTTCCCAGAGCTGCACAAACCTAATAATGAAAATTAGTGAAGGAAAATCATTTATTTTTAGTCGTGCCCCACGTTTTGACATTTTTTTTAATGGAAAACACTTTTCAAACAAATCAGATATATAGTAAATGGAATACAGAGATAATGGTGACAAGTTGGATTTTCTTTTAGGTGCAAATAGCCCAAAATCTGAAAGAGTTCCTCTGTAAATTAGCAATAATTAAGGGGATAATGCCACTTTGGCTTCCATTGAACAATGCTTACTTTTTACACCAAATGAAACAAACATTATAAATGGCGTTGGCACCTCAAGCCAGCTTGATAGTACATGTAGCCACCATACCGAAGCTCAGCATGTCGTAATGGTTCAAGAATGGTACATTTTAGGATGAAATGTTTGTCTTTGTGTCTTTTTTGCTATTCAGATATTGCTTATATATTCTATATCCGTGGTGGCAAAGCTATGGCATGCATACCACAGGTGGCATGCAGAGTCCTCTGTGTGGCCACGTGCGCTGTCGCCCCAGCACAGACCAAACACTGCTGGACACACACAAAACAAGTGATGGCCAAAGCAGGGCCGATTTGTGGATGCGGTTTTGTTTTGCGCCTCCCATTTCAGTTGATAGACAGCCAGGGGCCTGTTTGTGAATGGTCCCCTCTACTTTCTTTTTGCTTTTTCCACCCCCAATTTCCTCTGGTAGTTATCATTTGCTTGCCTTCTTTCAAAAATTACACAGATACACAAGCAAATAACCTGTGCGTTGATGAGATCTAATTGCAAAGAATGAGGTGTGTGTGTGTTTGTGTGTGTGTGTAAGACTAGACTAGAGAGATCTTGCACACTACTCTCTATCTCTGCAGCAATAACAGATCCCTCGCTGCCCAGTTTCTCGCTCTGTGCTTGGTCCCCTTGGTGTTTTCTTTTCCTTTGACAGAATTGTCTCAGATCATGTGCAGAGTGCCTTTCAAATCAATTTTCAGACCTCACTTTTAGAGCAATAGAAAGGAGAGAAGGAGAGGACTCTTTAGCTTCGCCCTTCTTCAGTCCGGCTCCCTCCCACCCTCCTGTGCCATGGTGATCCTTCACACTCACCTACTTCCCTGTCGCATTCCCACGAGGACCGCTCCCCCATCCCCTTTCGTGAGCCCGCATTTAAGGCTAGCTGGCTCTGCTGCCTCTTCTTATCCTCCCCACACCAACGGCAGCAGTTGGTAAAGGGAAATGGGCTGCCCTGGGACTTTGGCAGGGTATCCGGAAAAGATCTGGCCTGGGGAAGGGAGGGCAGTGGTGAGAATCTCGCAGATACTGAGACCTTCCCTCACCAGAAGGGCTTTGCTGACCCGGTGCAGGGACGAGGACAGGGGAGCCGTCACGGGGGTGGTGTGTGTGAGAGAGAGTGAGTGAGAAAGAATGGAAAGACTGTGTGAGTGTGTATGAGAGAGAGAGAGAGAGAGAGAGAGAGAGACTCAGCTTGCTTCCATTCTCCTAAGTTTGCACTAACTGCATTCTCAAAAGTTCAGTTTCTCCTTCAATTGCCTGATTAGATCTTTCTAAGAAGAGTTCACTGGCTTTGTTGGGGTTTGATGGGGGGGAGAGAGAGAGAAAGAGGGGGAGGACGAGGGAAAGAGGGAAAGAAAGAGAGAAATTATATTACAAAAGTTTCTTTTTTATTGTTGCTAAACATATTTCAAAAGCAGGGGGGAAAATGAAGCGACAAAAAAGTGCATTTATCACATTTTTCTTAGAATAATTAGCTGAACTCTGCCTTGTTTATCATTATTTGAGGTAGTAAAACCTTGTTATTCAGGTTAAATTGCCGTGTTGGCACTTTTTGATAAATAAGTGGGTTTTGGGTTGCAGTTTGGGCACTCAGTCTCTAAAAGGTTCGCCATCACTGTTCTATATTAATCTGATTTTTCTCCTTCTATTCCTTTTCCTCTTCCTCATTCTCCTCCGTTTCACTAACCCAAACCTTTTCCCTAAATTTGAAATCTTGCAGCAAGCTCCAACTGATGTGGCTCGACCTATTCTCATCCAGATAGCAGAATCTGCATACAGGTTTGCCCTTGGTTCAGTAGCTGGAGGTTAGTGAATTAATGAATGAATGACAGAAATATTAGCTTGACTTTTTTCCCCCCTCTGAATAGCTTTCGACCTTCATTATCCTTTTTTTTTTCACACAAAGCTTTTCATCTTATTGTCATTGCATCAGAAATAATTTGACCTTAGCTATTTGGATTCTTCCCTGATTGACTGATGGATTGATTATTGATTTACTTTTTAACATTTAGCTCCTTTTCATTAAAATCCAAATGGGCCTGGATCTTTCCACTTGTAATTGTTTGCAGTATTCCTGTTCAGAATTTATTTCAGCCAAGCCTTCCCCCCCACCCCAGAATCCTCCACTTTATTCACATAACCATCATCAGTTTCCTGTGCCCTCTGAATATGCTCAGAAAGAACAGCTTGAAGTATTTTTTTCAATTTTCATGACAAACGGCACCTGCATGAATAGTGCCAATGTCCCCAACTCAGACGGTGAACAAGCCAGGACAAGCAGGGGTTTTTTTCCTTATACCTGAGGAAAAAATACCATAGATTCCTGTTCTTTTCTTTGGGAGTAAAAATACAACAACAAAACTTTAGTCTAACAAACTGTTCCTCTTCTGACACTCAAAATTATCTCAGTCCTATTGTTCCTTTTTTAAAAAATAGCTTATTTTATTGTTATTATTACTATTATTTTTCCCTTTGAGTTATTTTGTTTACTGGCCACTGCCTCTACAAGTCAAGATTTTTGGAAGTGGTTTGCCATTGCCTTCTTCCTAGAATTGACAGAGATGCTGGTCCAAGGTCATGCAGCTATGCCTGTTGGGGACTAGAATTTATGGTGTCGTTATTTCCAGCTTGGTTCCTTTAACCATCATACCAAACTGGCTCTCTTCTTTTATTTACTGAGACTTACATGCTACTTCATTCAGGAGATTATGTGGATTACAGCCTGCTTAGAGTAATAAGATTAACAACCATAAAATAACAAGCAGAAAGGAACAGCAAACACTTCAGACACATTGTTCTGGCAACAGAAAATGTGGCAGCATGTTAGTTACTGACCAGTTAATGTTTGGAGAGGATTTCTTCTTTTTTTCAGTTGGCAAAACTGATACCTTATTTTCGTGGCCTGCTATGGTGATACTGGTAGAATTGAATTTGTACATATTGTATGCCAATTAATATAATAGCAGTTATTATAATAGGTGTGACTTACGACCACAATTAAGCCAACATTTATGTTAAGGAAGACACTTGTTAAAGGAGTTTTGCCCCATTTTACAACTATTCATGTACAGTTGCTAAATGAATCACTGCACTTATTAAGTTAGTAATCCAGTTGTTAAGTAAATCTGTCTTCCTCATTGACTTTGCTTGTCAGAAAGTCGCAAAAGGTGGATCACATGATCCCAGGACTCTGTGGCTGTCATAAATATGAATCAATGGCCAAGCCTCTGAATTTTAATCATGTGACCGTCTGGATATTGCAGTGGTCATAAATTTGAAAAATGGTCATAAGTCCCTTTTTTCAGTGCCGTTATAACTTTGAACGATCACTAAATGAACTGTTGTAAGTCAAGGACTACCTGTATATGTGTATGTGTGTGTGTGTATAAAGTAATTAATATATACTATGGTATATAGTGTCACTCTTGATATATAATGTCTTAATTGTAAAGACCTTTGTTTCATTCTTATTTTCATCTGTTCATCACACAAAAAGTTACCAGAGAGGAAGGATATATGGCTTGTCCTTATTTAACTTTAAAAATAACTCTTTTGTTATGGCTGGTTGCTAAATGAATGATTTCTAAAATTCATGAAGTTTGGGTTCACATTCTGGGGGTTTTTTGTCATCAGTTTTGACTCATAACTCAAGCAAAAGAAATTGATCTTGAAATGGGAGCTTCCAGGAAAGGCAGAAGAGGTTCTTCCCTTGCCTTGTTGCAATTAATCCATAACATCTTGTACAATTTTCACTTTTTTTACTCCTCTCAAATAAAAGCTGAGGGCAGTAGAATAAAATCTTTGAAATTCAGGAAAAGTATAATATTGCCTAGGAAGAAAAAAAAGGTGGGGAGGAGGTTTAGAGTGGGGAGGATTAAATATTATGTTCTGGTCTAGTCCCTCATGCAGTTTATGAACTCTAAATAAACCTGAGGCTGTGAGGCTTAATACAGAGGTTTTCTTTCCTCATTTAACAGCGGTTGGAGCCACTGCTGTGTATCCAATTGATCTGGTGAAAACACGAATGCAGAACCAGCGCTCCACTGGGTCATTTGTTGGAGAGCTGATGTACAAGAGTAGCTTTGATTGCTTCAAGAAAGTGCTACGTTATGAAGGATTCTTTGGGCTATACAGAGGTCAGTATCCAGATGTTTTCTAGTTCAAGAGGTTTGATGCCTGTTTATATTTTCTTAGTTTTGTTCATCCATCCTGAGTCTAAATGGGAGCTTTTGGCATTCTCTAGGTTTTGTGCTACAAAATGTGAGCTGTATTGCACTGATTGTTACCAATTTGGATGATGTATTTTCACTGGGTCTGGGTCTGGCCCCTCACCCCAATTTCAAGAGTAGCAACGAATCTTCTCGCTAATATACTGTATTTTTTCTGGACATTTTTCCCCACAAAACCTAACATAAGCAAGTTTATAAAACATTTAGATAAAACAATTTTGTTTAACAAAGCAAATCTTCTCATAGTTTTTAATATTATGGACTGCTTTTACTATTCCAGAACATTTTTATGGCTTCCAAATTATAATACTGTATTTTATCCTTTGTAGTATATGATTATAAGCATTTTTGTCATTTGCTAATTGTACTCTCTCCTACCAGGTCTGATATGTCTCTCTTAGCTAAAGCAGCCACTTCTATGCAAAATGCACAATTACTTCAAAGCCTGCTGTCAGACACATTTGAAGTCCTCTGATGTTAATAATAGCTTCCCCTTAACATATTTCTACAGTACATATAGCAATGGTGATCAAGAGGTCAACATTGTAGTTTGAGAAAAAACATAATAAATCATCCTTAGTAATCATGAGTTGGTACATCAGTTGTATTGCCTATCTTTTTCTTGTAGTGAAGGACCCAAGTTATATATAAAGTTATTTTGATCATGCCAAAAAGCAGTGTCATTGTTCAATTTTTTAGTGTCTTGATGAATGAGTTGCAAGCAGTTTCATTTTTGACCATATAACTACCAGTAGATGAAGAGATGGATCTGAAATCACAAAGACAAAGTATGCCAAAGCCACCAATGCTGTAGCAGATTTAGTAAATCCCTAGAAGGAGCATTTATTTTATCTCAATTCTGGAAATATGATAATCATTGGAATTATAATTTAAAAAGAGAATAAGCAGCAAGGAGGAAAATGTTAAAATGCAAGTGAGTCTGACAATCAATGTATGTAAACTTTGTCTCAAAGGAATATCAGGAAGAATCTAGTCTCAAAATGTATTGTTTATTTTTTTATTTGACTAATAAAATAAGTTTTAAGGGGATTTTATTGTTGCATGCTTTTTAACTTGTGTTCGCCGCCCTGAGTCTTTTGGGAGAAAGGTGGCATATAAATACATTAAACAATAGATAGATAGATAGATAGATAGATAGATAGATAGATAGATAGATAGATAGATAGATAATAAAAAGCTCTTAGAGTGATTGGTTTAAATAGATCACTGTCCCTGAAGTAACTTCTACTGTTTAGCAAATAAATTATATACTTTTTAAAATGTTGTTTTATTTATTTAATAATCAAATTTATATGGCACCTATATTATAAAAAGATACTCTAGGCCAGTGGATCTCAACCTTCCTAATGCCATGACCCTTTAATACAGTTTCTCATGTTGTGGTGACCCCCAACCATAAAATTATTCCTAAAACCATTGAAAATATGTGTTTTCGGATGGTTTTAGGTGACCCCTGTGAAAGGGTCATTCGACCCCCAAAGGGGTCCCGACCCACAGGTTGAGAACCACTGCTCTAGGCAGTGTACAATAATCCAATAAATGTGTAAACAGTCCAATAAAGTACAAAACCCGTCACTACCGGTTCGCTTGTGGGCGGGCGGGCACACGCATGCATCACTTCTGCAGAAGCATCCTAGTGGGTGGACGGAGCCTCCTGCCACCGCTGCTATTGGTTGACCCGTCCCAGGGCAAACTGGTAGCAACACACCACTGAAGTACACCTTTATTTATTAAATTTATATGCCAGCCATCTTACTGTCAAGCAATTCTAGGCACCTTACAATATCATAAAACCAAACATGAAAAATATTAAACATATTAAAATGAACAAAGATTAAATTTAAAACCAGAATACAGTGGGTTGGGGGGCATGGATCTTCCTAGACCATTAATCATTTCCACTATAGCCAATTGGTACAGCTAAGTTTTGAGATTCTTATGGCAGAGTCAAAAGGGTGGAGGCAGATTTTACCTCAACAAACATGATGATCCAGAGGGTGGAAAGCATGGTAGAAAAGGCCCTTCTTCTGGACTCTGCCAACCAGAATTCCTTGATTGACATGGTCTGCAACATGCCCTTTCTTCTGTCACCAGTTCGATAGGCCAATCCTGTTAGGGGTGAGATGCTTTCTTAGGTACCTTGACTCATCCATTAACATCATTAATGCAGATGATATGCTATTTGTTTTAATAAAACCTTAACAGGTTTTCTTTCTGTTTTTTTTTTAGTAAAAGTTATTCATTTTCCATGCTTTAAAAGCAATAATTTTGGATTAAATCTAATTGATTACATGTAAAGTATAGGTTTTATTTTCCTAATTCAAAACTTGTTCCCAGGCTTGCTATGTTACCTTCCCTATAAGTTTCAACATTGATATTTTGGGGTGTTATTTCTTATTTTAACATAGCTCACTGTTGTTAAAAATTTAAAGAGTGTGAAGCCATATTGTAACAATATTGTTACTGCGACCAGTTTTATTTTCCAGTCATTTTACCTGTTTTTAAGCACTGGATGTGCCTAGGGTTGAACATTAGATTTTATGATGCAAAACATCTGCTCTATTGCCAAGTTACAGCTGCTTCTGTCTGGCAAATGTTTCATTTCCAACCACCCTCCCCTCAATTATTTTGCTTTTCTTCTACTTTTGATAATTTCTGAGCACATGATATAGAATGCCAGAATAATGTTGTGTTTTAAAATCTTCTGCCTCTGATTTTGGTTGATTGCTATAGTGCTAATCGAAAAACTGAACACATGTACACACATTTTTTTAAAAAAGTAGAATTCACATTTAACATCATAAATGTATTAAATTCATGTGAACACTATTACCCTGTATATATGCATTTCTAAGTTTGCACATTTTCGTTGGCCGTAGAATTTTTTCAGGCTATTATTTTAAAACCTGCATTTATAGCATTGTCATTTACTTGCAATTAAAAATTAGTTTTAAAACATTATGATAATAAATGAAACAAACTTATATTGTACTAGAAAATTCTTCAATGTTTGCCCCTTATATTCTTATGAATTATATTAATCCAAGAAGTTGTTCAAATGCGGGGCATTTTATGCTAATTTTCCTTTTTATCCATGCATGAGAAATTTTGAAAATTGTTCTGAATTTTATCCAACCTGCTATTCTATATATGAAATGCAAAAATGTTGAACAGGAATTCTAGATTGTAAAAAAAGGATTTCTTTGGACAAGCCTGTACTCCAAATATAAATACTTCGATCTAACTAAGCATGTCTTTGGAATGATTAATTTTTATTTACCACAACATAGTACACAGGTTTCAAATTGTCTCTCTTTGATGAGCATGAATTATACCATCTTGTGGATCTTAGGCTATTTAAAAAGAAAAAAAAATCTGGGCCCTGTTGAATGAAAGAAGGAACAAGTTATTCCATACACAATTAATGCAATTGAGGCATCCATATCGAGATCCTCAACATGTTTAAGAATCAGTCCTTAATAGAGGAGCTGCCAAGGATTTGCCACATCATTTCATATTATCTATCCACATCTCTTCTTCATTATAGAGTTTAATCTGGCTTGCATCATATTCAGCATAATTCTGTTAGATGCAGAAACATCATTTTTATCAACTGTGTTTAATAAGCTATAAAACTACAAAATTATGAAACATCAGCAATCTCTCTAGTATTGTTATTCTAATAGCAGACACTTTGTTATTTTCTCAAGCATTTCAAGCATGTTAGCCTATAAATTCTTGACTTTTTTCTTAAGATAAGTCTCATTAAGTAACAGAACATATAAGCCTGAGCAGATACAAAAATGTATACCTAATAATTTCTTTTATACACTCTATATGAGAGTGAGTGTGTGTGTGTGTGTGTGTGTGTGTGTGTGTGTGTGTGTGTGTGTAATAAAATTTAGTATATTTTACTCTGGCCCTGAAAACAACTCTGGAAGGTCAAAAAAAGTGGTATATAGGTCTTTCTAGATACATAAATATATCTGGCGGAAGGAATGCTTTGATACCCAAATCGGCTTATATTAAGCAAAACCATAAATCTATTTTGCCTCTTTATGGCTGATGAAAGTATTGGAAATAGCCAGCTTGACCATCAAACTAAGAAATAAGATAAAGCATCCCCAGTGGAAGCTGTCCAACTTCTGTTTGATTTGATCTTTGAGTCTACTGAATTCATAGTCAATAGACAATCTCTGGTTGTATTTCTATTAGGTTCAAGCTTTTTATCCTGCTTTTCACAACTGGATCAAGTGATAGATTGCTTATCAACCTATCAGATAATTGGTTCCATTCTTAAATAGTTGATGTTTCTACTCTTTCAAAGATTTTTAAAATTCAATTAGAATTAATATAATTAATATAATTTAAATCCAAAGTTCTTTATTCTGCATTTGAGATTATAATAAAGAGATCTTGATCTTTTTTTCATAGACATCCTTTCCTGTTCTTGAGGAGTGCTATCCTTCAGTTTTTCCTTCTTAGGGAAAACATTCATGCTCCTGTCAAATTCAGTAGGACTTAATTTATAGTCCTCAATCATCCCTGTTCCTCTTCCTGAATATAATACAGGTGGTCTTAAATTTTGGTATACAGAAATGGATATAATACTTGAGGAAGGGATTAAAGGAATAAAGCATTAATTCCTGTGATTTGGAAACTATACCTCTGTTGATGCAATTAAAATTGTTTACTTTTTTTTAGGTATTTCACACTCCTAACTCATATTCATTTAGAAATCAACTACAAAGTATTTTTAAGTACTACTACCAAGCCAGGTATCACCTATGTATTTCATTTTAATTTTTAAGTGCATAACTTTCCATTTCTCTCTTTCTAAATCTTTTGCTTTCAGTCTGTTTCATTGATTTAATGAGATTGTTCTGGTTCTTATTTCTGTCTTCTAGAATATTAAGTGTCTTATCCAAATTTGTGTCATCTGCAGCACTTTCTCTTTTCCCAAGTTATTAATAGAAGCTTTTTAAGAATACAGAATCCATCTCTCAATACCTCTCTATTCCAAGTCTAATTCTAGAATGTTAGTATCTATATGTCAGATTGACTGATCACTAGTTCACCATATCTGTTTCCTTCCTTTTTTATTTATATTTATTGAGCATTTGCATACAGAAATCAAATCTGAAGGTGAAAGAAAAAAGAAAAAAAAAGAAACAGGTGCAAGAAAGGAAAGAAACTAAAGTTATGAAATACCCTAACAGAAAGTTCCAATCTTCTCTCCAGCAGATAATTATAATCTTATAGTCCTCCTTCCCTTTTAAATACTATACAAATCCCTTCAACCTGTCACTTTGTCCACATATTTTTCAGTCCTCAAAACGCATGAATCATGTAATTTGTTTTATTCTTTTCAAATCTCTAGATAGGTAGTCCTTGATTTATAACCACTTGTTTAATGTCTATTCAAAGTTACATCACTGAAAAAAGTGATTTATGACTATTTTTCATACTTAACACCTTTGCAGTATCACAAAGGCCACATGATCAAAATTCAGATGCATGGCAACTGGTTCATATTTAGCGTGGTTGCAGTATCCCAGGACCATGTGGTCACATTATGTGGCCTACTGACAAGCAAAGTCAATGGGGAAGCCAGATTCACTTAGTATCCGTGATACAAACTTAACAAATGCAATGACTCACTTAACAACTGAAAGCAAAAAAGGTTGTAAAATGCGGTAAAATTCACCTAACTATTATCTTGCTTAGCAACAGAAATTTTGGGCTCCATTGTGGTGGTAGGTCGAGGACTATCTGTATAAAGTTTTCAGTCTTACAAAAAATATTGTTTTCTTTTGCTTTCCCCATTTTTCGGTCATTTGCTTTGTTTCAGTAATTCACATTTTTTATTATTTGTCCAGAATTTCTTAAAAGTAATAAATAAAATTTTGACCAGATAATTTAGTATCCTATGATGCAATTATGACTCAGGAGATTTTAACTCAAAAGTCATAGACAATCCCTGGCTATGTTTCTATTAGGTTCAAAGTTTTCATCCTTCTTTTCACAATTGTTATTTTTACAAAAGACAAAGACAAAACATGAGCGGAGTAGTTCTGAATTATTAATGGTTTTCCAGTTGTTTTGGGCAAAGCAATTTCCTATCTTTTTCACATGATCCTTATAAAAGCAGATTCTTAGGACTGAGCGGAGGGTTCATGGCTACCAACCCAGATCCACCCTTAAAAACTGGCCAGATGTGACATTTTGTTTTTCTACACAAGAGACTGCATTTCAGTGCACACTTCTTTGAGAATAAAGTCCACTGAATTTAGTGGGATATTGTAGAAGATGTGCATATTGGTAATAACTATCAAGTAGCATCTGCATGTAATTTCACTCACTGTAGCAAAAATAGATAATCTAATCTCTCTAGTATTTTGTACTGTCAGCTTCCATCAGCTCTAACTGTTACATGTTAGGTTTCCATGTGGAAATCTGGAGACCATCAGGTTGCCTGCATCTTAGAAGTTGATAAATGAAAAGCTATCACAAAAATGAGGTCGGATTTTGGAAGTATGGCTTCCTTTTACACAACTTGTATTCCACAGCACTTATAAAAACAAATTATAATCGCTACTTTAGTATTAATTTTTGTCTTTTTGAAATGTTATCAGCTGTCCTTAGTATTCATTATAATAGAAAGGCAGAACATAATTCAAATAAATAAATAAATGCCACAATGCAAGTTGCACCAGTACTGCTCGGATCTGTTTTGTGTATATTTTTATGTAGTTGTGAAAGAGGAGAGTAAGTATAAGAGAAGAAGGCTGAAGTAAGAAATTCAGAAAATTCAGATTCTTAACTATAGAAGCAAAGAGTAACTATCTTTGGCAATCATTCTATCTATCTGGGTTCCAAGTAATAACCCCAAAGCAATAAATACTGAGGCCTAGAGTTTCCTCAAAGCATAATTTTATTTGGGATATCATATTGGCACAGCTGATGAAAACCCAACTTTAAAGGACCTAAGATTGTCCCCACGCAAATCAAAGCTCAAAGTTCTTATTGTCCAGGTCACATATCCATCACATAGTCCAATCAGGTCGTGGTCTCAACTCCAGCTGGCTTTGAGCCATGCCCTTCCAACACCTGGTAGAGCGTCCTTGGCTCTCACGAGAAAGAATGTTATTTTGGTTACACATCCCCCAGCTATCTCTACCCCCACACACACTTACGTTCCCACAGCTTCACCTGGCCTTGCTGTGGCAGCCCTGAAGATGCTCCCAAAAAATGGCTTCAGGGCTGACACCTACTTTGCTCTCCTGGTTTTGGAGATATGGGTAAGAAGAACTAATAACAGTATTTTTATAAGAGTCCAAACAAAACTAAGTAAAACATAAGAGTTTTTTTCAATTACTTTTATAATTTTCTCATATTTCTAAGTATATATAATTATTGTTTGAATCAAAGCAATGCTGAATTGTGTGTGTAAAGGGTATTTTATGTAGTATCCACACAGATAATCTTGCTAAACATAATAATTGAAAATTGCTCTTAAGATGCCATTCCCCTTAAGAAGCAAAATTAATAACAATTTATTTCTTGATCAACTTAACTGCTATATTTTTTTATATTTTATAGGTCTTCTGCCACAGCTCCTGGGGGTAGCTCCAGAAAAAGCCATAAAGCTTACTGTAAGTTCAGAGTAAAACATTGAGTCATTCTTAATATATTATTTTCAATTTCCAGTAGAAAGAGTTATTTTGGTTATATGCTTAAAGTATGCATCAGAATATTTTGTTTGGGCAAAACTATACTTGTACAATATGTTGGTTACATGTTTGTGATTTAGTTTCTTTTGATTCTTTTGAAAGATTATTTGAGAATCTTTCATGTGGCAATTTCAGATTAAAAGTTTGATTCAGGACCTTTACATTCTTCTTTTAAAAAAGCAGAACACTTTATTGCTACTTTTTACTTTATTGCCCATTTAACTAGAATATTGCAGAAAAAGATACTTGTTAAGACATTAATTAACTTGCCAATAAACAGCAGTTCAAATATTAAACTGTAATAGCTTAAAATAAAATTTCTTTTTAATATTTTAATTCTACAAAATAGTTCTACAAAAATATATTTGTAGAAAGCATTAATTCAGACTGACTAGTAGTATGTTTTCTGAAGTATAATTCAGAAATGTGTGGATGTAAAGCTTAATTTTTTTTAATGTATAAACACCTTCTAATATTTGAATTCTTCTTGTGCTATACATCTGTTCCAAGGTGAATAAAACCCACCCAAGGACGCATACACACACTATTGCTGATGAACTTAAAATTTATACTTGAAAATGTATATTGACACCTTAAATTTAAAAGTTTATATATGTTTATTTTAATTGTTTTTAAGGTAAACGATTTTGTGAGAGACAAATTTATGCAAAGGGATGGTTCTGTCCCTTTTCCAGCAGAAATTCTTGCTGGGGGCTGCGTAAGTATTCTGTTTCTCTTTCACCAGGATGTTAAAGAAAAATTATAATTCCACAAACCTTAGGATTTAATTCGAACTTTATAAATAATCAAGCTGTTCTTAAATTAATAAGCTAATGGCAGCAATTTAATATTGGAAGGGAGAACAGTTTTCGTGTTTTTAAAACCTGTGGCTTAATAATTATTTTGTGTTGGAGGATTGCTTGGCATTTTGAAGTCTAAATTGTTATAGATATAGTTACTTACCATTGTATTCATCTAAAAGCTGGTTTAAGACCCACTTCCATTATAATATTTATCTTGTTACTTTTCTTCCCCTTCTTGCCATTTTTCATTCATACTCTTAAGTTTTTATTGTCTAAATGTGACTTGCTAAATGCCACAAACTACAGAAATAACCTTGCTGTTCTATCATTGATAGTTTTTATAATATTAATTTAAGCACTTCATATATTTCTAATGTAAAGTATAGCTAAAATGTTTTATACACGTTCTGCTTTGTTTTCATAGTAAAGTACACTCATAAAGTGTACTTTAAAAAACAACTAGTCGTTCATTCTGTGAATGCAATATTTCTGCTGATCAGTTTTGCCATGGCAGTTCCTGTAATGATAACATGCAATATTGGGGGGAGGGGTGTTTATTTTTATTTTGTTGGAGCAATTATAAATCCATTTTGCATGAAATGAACTCTTGTTAGAGGTAATAACAGACAGAGTGCTGTTCATTTAACTCACTTTGATCAGTGGGTAGGAAAGAGCTGGTGGAGCTCCAAGCTCACTGGTAAATTTCGGCTGTCATGAGAACGATGAGGTCATTTTTAAAAATCAGTTAAATTCCTGCTGAGAACAATGTAGAAATACAAAACCAATTGTACCAAACTCTCTCTTAATAATAACAGAGAAATTTGTACATTCTTTCTTCCAAAAAGCATACTACATAGGTAATTGTACAACTGTATTTATTCAGTGTTATGTAAATAGGAGACACCTAGTTGCTTTTTACAATTCACCCTAGATAAAGAGATGCTCTGTTTGATCAGTGACCTGTCATGTACTGCCAGATAGCTTACCTGCTCTGTAACTGAAGAAGTATTTAAGGGACGGGTATTTTAAAGTTTTTAAAAGTTTTTTTAAATTATAGACTTTTCAATTTATAAGCGGAATTAATTAAAATAAAATAAAAAAACTAAATGTTGTAAAATAAAAATTATCAAATTAAACCCAAATAACATTAAAATATTATTACAGTATATTATTTTTATGTACATTACCTTCATTGTGGTAGCTTGTCCACTGGGGTTATTTTTCCTAAAGCAATGTTATGTATTCTGATCTATGTAAGTTATGTCCGGAAGAAGAGCAATCTCTTTGAAAACCATGTTTACTAGAACTCTCTGCTGGCATTTTCCTCTAAAATTAATTATGTGATTCTTCATAATTTCCTGGCAGTATATGTTTGATGGCAAACAGCCCAAGACTTCCTTTGAACTGAAGTGTTTAAATAAAGATCAGTGCCAGGTAGATAGGATGAGGCTTGTGTTGTCTCCCTATGGGTGGTCTTGTTTCATTATGTGTTGGTATCTTTTTCAAAGCTGGATGCACAGAATTGAGATAGCTAGATCCTGCATAATGTATGTCTTTCTGCTTGTTCTAAATTAGTTTCCCCAATCTGATGGCATACAGATATGCTATACGCCAGGTTTCATAATTTCCCATGAACAAAGCTTGTGTCCATGCTATTGAGTTGCAAAAAATGCAGGGCACCAGGTTAGGAAAGGCTGTTGTAAGACAAGTTTAAGAAATGCACTTGATGATTGGTCTGTATATAGAGAACCTAATCTTGGTGAAGGAATCCTTGTTTTAGAAAAGTTATTGCAGAGGTATGTGTCATGTGTTCTTTTAGAAGGGAGGGTGAGGATATGTTTTTATTAAATTTCCTTAATATTTTTTAAAAATCCTAGATAAGATGAAATGATTATTATGATCATGAACATGATCATGATATGGTGGTTGTGGTTTGAATTCTTTCGTTAAGGTTAAAATTTTGTCATCCTAAAGAAAGGAAGATAAATAATAATAATAGTGTATTCTGTTCTGGTTAACTTTAATCTAAAGTGAAAGATAAATGAGACTGTAATTATTGAACTCAATTTGATGCAGGAGGGACATAGTTTTGGGTTCAATAGTTGCAGGTGACCATAGAAAGACATAGATACAACCTCCATCATCTTTCTTAAAATTGCCACTAAATTTTAATGTGGCAGAAACAAGAAATCACTAAATACGTAAAAGGAAGGTCATAATAACTTAATTAAATTTAAACCAAATTTTCATTTTTATCTTTGCTTTTACCACTTTTTCATCGTAGCCACATCTAATCTAGTCTAGAAGAATTGTATGCCCAAAGGCTAAAAGATAGTTACTTAATTTATAGTAATTCTTTAAATACCTATTCAGAATAATCTCTTCTGAATTTGGTCTAGGTTTATGCCTGCAAAATTTGAGTTTTAATATTTTGTTTTATCCTTAGATTATTATGTTTTAAGGATATTATTATTGTTGGTCACATAGTCAGTCAAATGTTTAGAATAATTTGGCATTTTTATCCACCTACCAAGGATTTGGGATAGGCAATGTTGTTTGTAGTGTTAAAAGTTTAATTGCAAATGTAAGCTTTTGCAAATAAAGTTGGCCTTTGCAATTGACTGTTGATGATTTTGTCAGTGTCAATGGTGTTAATCTTTGTGTATTTGTGATAGGTAAAGAGCTTTTCTTCTAGTAGTCCTGCAGCTTCTGGTTCTGGTTGCTCTGCAAACTTTCTGAGTTCTGAAGCTCATTTATTAACAGATGTCCAAGAACTCCAACACTTAGCATGTCCTTGCTTACCTGGGTAACAATTGATCTGGTATGGATAAATTATGATCTTCAAATTATGTCTCACCATATTGTTTATGGGAGACACTCAGATGAAAACTGCCCAGTGTAGTTGAACATGTGGCATAACTTTCATCTTCCTCAGGGCAGGCAAGCTCTAAAAGGACTTCAAGATGGTACCTCACTGAGCTAGGAAGAAAAGAATGCCCAACAATGTGAAATCACAATTCTTTAGCTGGAGTTGGTCTTCATATACATCAGGTTCTTTCCAATAGTTTAGTACATTATAATATATTGGTGCAGCATATGTTTAGATCGAACTTTTGTGGCCTTTTGTCAAATGGAACCATCAAATATTTTTTTTTTTTGTATGGTACCCAGTGTGCTGCTAGCCATTGGGATCACCATGGTTAATTTCGGCCATAATGCAATTTTGGTATTTTTGTTATCTTTTTCAGTTCTTCTATTCTACTATCCACTGCTATCCAGTAGTGAAATCCACTTACGTTTGCTATCAGTTTGCAAATGTGAGCGTGCGCACCTCCTCCTCAGCATATGCGCAGAGCCTTCTGAGCATGCGCAGAGGGTCAAAAATGAACATGATGATGTCCGAGTGGGTGTGCGGAGCATTTATTGACATTTGAATCATTGGGGACCTCACCTTGCAGTAATATGTACTACGGAGAATTAGTACACATTATTGACTTTTGCACTCACAACCACAAAACTGCTTGTTTCATTGAAGAAGTTACCTACAGTTTCATAAACTATTTCCTTCATTAGAAAACTGGAGAGGTTTTGTATCATAACTCTACAATACTAATGCAGGTGATAGCATGTTCCAGTTTTCCTTCTGTCCTCTCCTCCCCCCCCCCCAGCCCAGATCCCCCTGAATCTTAAAATATCATTTTGGTATAGCAGGTTGATTATCGAGCAAATTACTTTATTGAATCTGTGTTCTAAATTGTTTCTTATCTTTAAGGTTATTAAAAAATAATTGCTGTGCATTAAAGTTTTATTTAGTATACTAAGTTTTAAACTGCTTTGTAACCTGCTTAAATCATTAAACATCTGATAAATTGATCTGGATTTTCTGTAAATTCTTTGGAACTTCTAACATGAGATTCCTAATTTTCTTCTATCAGAGTTTTTAGGCTATCTAAAGTTTTGGCATGAGAAAGTGTGTATGTGTGTGAGGGGGAGGGGAATTTACAGTTTTAAGCTTTACTTTTGTATTTTTACAACTCTCTGTTCAGAATTGATTTGATGTTATAATTGCATTGCCTGATTTAAATGCAGCTATTCTTTATCTGTGGTGTAAATAAATGGATTGGGTGATAGTGAAATTCCTGATGGAATTGCCTCTCTTGAAATATCTTTGGTTTTAGGAGGCAAATTATACTCTAATATGAAATTCTTGGGAATTTTTAAGGAACTGAAGGCCAATCTGTTTAGGAATGTTGTGAAAGGAATTGGGAATCAACACAGTAATTACTCTTACATCTGAATCTATTATCTAAATAGCTATATATAACCTCCCTGGAGATTTGCCACTTCATTTCATCAACTTCAGCTTTGGACCACTGTTAAAGAGCAGAAGCCCCTCAGGATAAGTTGAGATTCCATTTAATTATGTCATAGTGGTCAAGTAGGTAAAGAAAGACCCAGTGATAAAGCACACAGTTTATAGGTGTAAGTTTAAAATTCCATTATGTCTCCAGCAATTGTTCAACAGATAGATGAAAAATAAAAGTGAAAATCAATATCTTAAATTCTATGCTGCCTGGCTATCTTGTATATGAACTTCTTCAATGAAAAAAAAATCCTTTTCATAGCAGATTTTTTAAAACTCAAGACATCTATGTATGGAGGTTTGGAAAGAAACATTTTCCTTGGTTAAACTACTTGTGAACAGAACAGAAATATCTAATAATACAAAATGTTTCAATCTAGTCTTATACCTGGACAGAGGTATATAGTTATAATTGCTGAAGTTTTTGTAAATAACAGGCACAACCTATAATGTTATGTCTCCAGCAATTGTTCAACAGATAGACGAAAAATAAAAGTGAAAACCAATATCTTAAGTTCTGTGTTGCCTGGCTATCTTGTATATGAACTTTTT